ATGCGCTGGTCATTTTGGTCGGTATGCGCGCCTGTAGTGCAGGTACCATGTACGACTGGAATGAATATATCTGCCAAATTACATAGATCCGGTAGGTTAAAACATAGTAGGGGGGTGGGAAATGGTATAATTTATAGGAAATGGGAATACATATGGTATTTGCTGTATTTGTATAGAAAGAATAATGCGTCGGCCGGTAATGCCAGTATGCACGCTTGTGTGTAGGTAGAAGGCGGAACTGGAACTCTGAAATCTCCCAAATTATGTGGATCTGAAAGGTTATAACCTAGTCTTGTTGAAGTAGAAGGTCAAATCTAGTAGACTGGCAAGAATATGGTAGTAACTGCATCTCTACAAAAATGAGTAATGCGCTGGTCAGTTTGTGTCAGAATAGCAGTAGAAAGTTAGAAACAGAAAGGGGGCTTCACTAGTAAGCAGGGCAGGACATATAGCAAACCCTAATTTGGGTTGTACTCACTATAGAGTACCCCACTGCAGACTAGACAATTATAACATTCTGACACACCCCCATAGTCAAAGTGGGGTATAATCAGCACAGCAAGCAGTCATAGAGCAGGTTCACAAGGACAAGCAAAGCTAGAGGCATGCAGCAGGGCAAGTGAGGAGGAGGAGGCGTGACTGTAAGAGGAGAGGAGATAGGAGGCGACGGCTGAAGCTGCAGACACACGGGCAACAGGAGTGACACTGGCACAGTGGCTACCGGGACAGCGCCCCGGACTACTGGAGTAACTGGCTCTGCGGCTAACTCTGAGCGGCAGGAGCAACAGGCCCACGGGCGACTGTCTACAGCAGGCTACTACTGGGCTACCGGAGCAGCGCCCCGGACTACTGGTGCTGCTGACGACAAGACGGCAGCCTCCGCTCATCCTCCCCCAACTGTCCCACCCCCCTTTCACACACCCCTTGCTGTACCCCCCTAGCTCTACTCCCACGTCACCCCCCTAGCACCACTCCTTCGGCTCCCACACACCCACCCCCCTCAGCGGCAGCTGCAACAGTGGGAGACGGAGGAGGAGGAAGAGCAGGGGACGGCGCACTCACTTGGCACCCCCATAACCGCCACCCCCACACTCGCCACCCCCAAACCCTAAAACGGGTGGCACGGGGTAGGAGCGCAGGGGACGGCGCGGGGGACGGTGCGCGGCCCCCAGGGCGCCACGACGGGGCAGCGGGGGGCCGCGCACGGCTCCCCAGGGCGCCGCGACGGGGCAGCGGGGGATCGCGCGTGGCTCCAGGGGTGGCGCGCGGGTCCAGCGGGGCAGCGCGCGGGTCCCCAAGTGTGACGCGAGGGCCGACGGGGTGCGGCGCGCGGTTCCAGCGGGGCAGTGCGAGAGCCGACGGGGGGCGCGCGCGGGTCCCCTGAGGCGACACGAGGGTCGACGGGGGGCGCGCCATGCAGAAAACCGCCGCGCGCCCCGGGGCACACGGCGGGCAGAAAACCGCCGCGCGCCCCAAGCGCACGGCGGGAAGAAAAAACGCCACGCGACTCTAGCGCGCGGCAGGCAGGGAACGTCGCGTGCCCGGGGCGCGCGATACGAAGGATTGCAGCGGAAGCATACGGTGGGCCCACAGGCCAGGAGCGAAAGCGCTCTGATAGCATGTCAGAATAGCAGTAGAAAGTTAGAAACAGAAAGAAGGCTTCACTAGTAAGCAGGGCAGTACATATAGCAAACCCTAATTTGGGTTGTACTCACTATAGAGTACCCCACTGCAGACTAGACAATTATAACATTCTGACAGTTTGGTCGGTATTCGCGCCTGTAGTGCAGGTACCATGTACGACTGGAATGTCTATATCTGCCAAATTACATAGATCTGATAGGTTAAAACATGATAGGGGGGTAGGGAATGGTATAATTTAAAGGAAATGGGAATACATATGGAATTTGCTGTATTTGTACAGAGAGAATAATGCGTCGACCGGTAAAGTCAGTATGCACGCTTGTGTGTAGGTACAAGGCGGAGCTGGAACTATGAAATCTCCCAAACTATGTGGATCGGAAAGGTTATAACCTAGTGTTGTTGAAGTAGAAGACCTAATCTACTGGACTGGCAAGAATATGGCACTAACTGCATCTCTACAAACATACGTAATGCGCTGATCAGTTTGGTCGGTATGCGCGCCTGTAGTGCAGGTACCATGTACGACTGAAATGTCTTTTTATCTGCCAAATTACATAGATCTGATAGGCTAAAACATGGTATGGGGGTGGGGAATGGTTTCATTTAAAGGAAATAGGAATACATATGGTATTCACTGTATTTGTACGCAGAGAATAATGCGTCGGCCGGTAAGGTCAGTATGCACGCTTGTGTGTAGGTACAAGGCGGAACTGGAACTCTGAAATCTCCCAAATTATGTGGATCGGAAAGGTAATAACCTAGTGTTCTTGAAGTAGAAGGCCTAATCTAGTGGACGGGCAAGAATCTGGAACTAATTGTATCTCTACAAACATAAGTAATGCGCTGGTCAGTTTGGTCGGTATGCGCGCCTATAGTGCAGGTACCATGTACGACTGGAATATCTATATCTGCCAAATTACATAGATCCGATAGGTTAGAACATGGTAGGGGCGTGGGGAATGGTATCATTTAAAGGAAATGGGAATACATATGGTATTCACTGTATTTGTACAGAGAGAATAGTGTGTCGGCTGTAAGGTCAGTATGGAAGCTTGTGTGTAGGTACAAGGCGGAACTGGAACTCTGAAATCTCCCAAATTATGTGGATCGGAAAGGTTATCACATAGTGTTGTTGAAGTAGAAGGCCTAATCTAGTGGACTGGCAAGAATATGGTGCTATCTGCATCTCTACAAACATAAGTAATGCGCTGGTCAGTTTGGTCGCTATGCGCGCCTGTAGTGCAGGTACCATGTACGACTGGAATGTCTATATCTGTCAAATTACATAGATCTTATAGGTTAAAATATGATAGGGGGGTGGGGAATGGTATAAGTCAAATGAAATTGGAATACATATAGTATTCACTGTATTTGTAGAGAGAGAATAATGCGTCGGCTGGTAAGGTCAGTATCCACACTTGTGTGTAGGTACAAGGCGGAGCTGGAACTCTGAAATCTCCCAAAATATGTGGATCGGAAAGGTTATAACCAAGTGTTGTTGAAGTAGAAGGCATAATCTAGTGGATTGGCAAGAATATGGCACTAACTGCATCTCTACAAACATACGTAATGCGCTGGTCAGTTTGGCCGGTATGCACACCTGTGGTGCAGGTACCATGTACGACTCAAATGTCTTTATCTGTCAAATTACATAGATCCGATAGGTTAAAGCATGGTAGGGGGGTGGGGAATGATATAATTTTAAAGGAAATGGGAATACATATTGTATTTGCTGTATTTGTACAGAAAGAATAATGCGTCGGCCGGTAAGGTCAGTATGCACGCTTATGTGTAGGTACAAGGCGGAGCTGGAACCCTGAAATCTCCCAAACTATGTGGATTGGAAAGGTTATAACCAAGTGTTGTTGAATTAGAAGGCGTAATCTAGTGGACTGTCAAGAATATGGCACTAACTGCATTTCTAGAAACATAAGTAATGTGCTGGTCAGTTTGGTCGCTATGCGCGTGTGTAGTGCAGGTACCATGTACGACTGGAATGTCTATATTTGCCAAATTACATAGATCCGATAGGTTAAAACATGGTAGGGGGGTGGGAGATGTTATAATTAATGGGAATACATACGGTATTCACTGTATTTGTACAAAGAGAATAATGCGTCGGCCGGTAAGGTCAGTATGCACGCTTGTGTGTAGGTACAAGGCGGAGTTGGAACTCTGAAATCTCCCAAATTATGTGGATTGGAAAGTTTATAACCATGTTTTGTTGAAGTAGAAGGCCTAATATAGTGAACTGACAAGAATATGGTACTAACTGCATCTCTATAAACATAAGTAATGCGCAGGTCAGTTTGGTCGGTATGCGCGCCAGTAGTGCAGGTACCATGCATGACTGGAATGTCTATATCTGCCAAATTACATAGATCCGATAGGTTAAAACATGGTAGGGGGGTGGGAAATTGTATAATTTTAAAGTAAATGGGAATACATGTGGTATTCACTGTATTTGTACAGAGAGAATAATACGTCGGCCGGTAAGGTCAGTATGCACGCTTGTGTGTATGTACAAGGCGGAGCTGGAACTCTGGAATCTCCCAAATTATGTGGATCGGAAAGGTTATAACCAAGTGTTGTTGAAGTAGAAGGCCTAATCCAGTGGACTCTCAAGAATATGGCACTAACTGCATCTCTACAAACATACGTAATGCGCTGGTCAGTTTGGTCGGTATGCGCGCCTGTAGTGCAGGTACCATGTACGACTGAAATGTCTCTATTTAAAGTAAATGGGAATACATATGGTATTTGCTGTATTTGTACAGAAAGAATAATGCGTCGGCCGGTAAGGCCAGTATGCACGCTTGTGTGTAGGTACAAGGTGGAGCTGGAACTCTGAAATCTCCCAAACTATGTGGATCGGAAACGTTATAACCTAGTGTTGTTGAAGTAGAAGGTCTAATCTAGTGGACTGGCAAGAATATGGCACTAATTCCATCTCTACAAACATACATAATGCGCTAGTCAGCTTGGTCGGTATGCGCGCCTGTAGTGCAGGTACCATGTACAACTGAAATGTCTTTATCTGCCAAATTACATAGATCCGATAGGTTAAAACATGGTAGGGGGGTGGGGAATGGTATCATTTAAAGGAAATGGGAATACATATGGTATTCACTGTATTTGTACGGAGAGAATATTGTGTCGGCTGGTAAGGTCAGTATGCACGCTTGCGTGTAGGTACAAGGCAGAACTGGAACTCTGAAATCTCCCAAATTATGTGGATCGGAAAGGTAATAACCTAGTGTTGTTGAAGTAGAAGGCCTAATCTAGTGGACTGGCAAGAATATGGTAGTAACTGCATCTCTACAAACATGAGTAGTGGGCTGGTTAGTTTGGTCGCTATGCGCGTCTGTAGTGCAGGTACCATGTACGACTGGAATGTCTATATCTGCCAAATTACATAGATCCGCTAGCTCCTTTTTACTGCTGCCAACTCCCTCTCCCTCTCCTTAACTTGCCCTCTCATCTCCCTCATATCCGCTACTCGTCCTTGCTCAACCTCCTTCAATCCCTTCTTCAACTCTATCATCTGCCCCATAACAGCCTCCACTCTCTCACCCAGGGTCTACTCCACCGTTAACAACCACTCCTCCACCCCACCCCATTCTCCCTCTTTCCATCACCCCGCCCCATTCTCCCGCTTTTCAGCACCCCGCCCCATTCTCCCTCTTTCCATCACCCCGCCCGATTCTCCCGCTTTCCATCACCCCGCCCCGTTCTCCCGCTTTCCATCACCCCGCCCCATTCTCCCGCTTTCCATCACCCCGCCCCATTCTCCCTCTTTCCATCACCCCACCCCATTCTCCCGCTTTCCATCACCTGCCCCATTCTCCCGCTTTCCATCACCCCGCCCCATTCTCCAGCTTTCCATCACCCCGCCCCATTCTCCTGCATTCCATCACCCCGCACCATTCTCCCGCTTTCCATCACCCCGCCCCATTCTCCCGCTTTCCATCACCCCGCCCCATTCCCCCTCTTTCCATCACCCGCCCCATTCTCCCTCTTTCCATCACCCCGCCCCATTCTCCCTCTTTCCATTACCCCGCCCCATTCTCCCGCTTTCCATCACCCCGCCCCATTCTCCCGCTTTCCATCACCCCGCCCCATTCTCCCGCTTTCCAGCACCCCGCCCCATTCTCCCGCTTTCCATCACCCTACCCCATTCTCCCGCTTTCCAGCACCCCGCCCTATTCTCCCGCTTTCCATCACCCCGCCAGATTCTCCCGCTTTCCATCACCCCGCCCCATTCTCCCGCTTTCCACCACCCCACCCCATTCTCCCGCTTTCCATCACCCTGCCCCATTCTCCCTCTTTCCATCACCCCGCCCCATTCTCCCGCTTTCCATCACCCGCCCCATTTTCCCGCTTTCCATCACCCCGCCCCATTCTCCTGCTTTCCATCACCCCGCCACATTCTCCCTCTTTCCATTACCCCGCCCCATTCTCCCTCTTTCCATCACCCCGCCCCATTCTCCCGCTTTCCATCACCCCGCCCCATTCTCATGCTTTCCATCTCCCCGCCCCATTCTCCCTCTTTCCATCACCCCGCCCCATTTTCCCTCTTTCCATCACCCTGCCCCATTCTCCCTCTTTCCATAACCCCGCCCCATTCTCCTGCTTTCCATCACCCCGCCCCATTCTCCCGCTGTCCATCACCCCGCCCCATTCTCCCGCTTTCCATCACCCCGCCCCATTCTCCAGCTTTCCAGCACCCCGCCCCATTCTCCCGCTTTCCATTACCCCGCCCGATTCTCCCGCTTTCCATCACTCCGCCCCATTCTCCCGCTTTCCATCACCCGCCCCATTCTCCCGCTTTCCATCACCCCGCCCCATTCTCCATCTTTCCAGCACCCCGCCCCATTCGCCTGCTTTCCATCATCCGCCCCATTCTCCCGCTTTCCATCACCCCGCCCCATTCTCCATCTTTCCATCACCCCGCACCATTCTCCCTCTTTCCATGACCCCGCCCCATTCTCCCTCTTTCCATCACCCCGCCCCATTCTCCCTCTTTCCATCACCCCGCCCCATTCTCCCGCTTTCCATCACCCCGCCCCATTCTCCCTGTTTCCATCACCCTGCCCCATTCTCCCGCTTTCCATCACCCCGCCCCATTCTCCCTCTTTCCATCACCCCGCCCCATTCTCCCTCTTTCCATCACCCTGCCCCATTCTCCTGCTTTCCATAACCCTGCCCCATTCTCCCGCTTTCCATCACCCCGCCCCATTCTCCCGCTTTCCATCACCCCGCCCCATTCTCCCGCTTTCCATCACCCCGCCCCATTCTCCCGTTTTCCAGCACCCCGCCCCATTCTCCCGCTTTCCATCACCCCGCCCCATTCTCCCGCTTTCCAGCACCCCGCCCCATTCTCCCGCTTTCCATCACCCCGCCCGATTCTCCCGCTTTCCATCACCCCGCCCCATTCTCCCGCTTTCCATCACCCCGCCCCATTCTCCCGCTTTCCATCACCCCGCCCCATTCTCCCGCTTTCCATCACCCGCCCCATTCTCCCGCTTTCCATCACCCCGCCCCATTCTCCCGATTTCCATCACCCCGCCCGATTCTCCCGCTTTCCATCACCCCGCCCCATTCTCCCTCTTTCCATCACCCCGCCCCATTCTCCAGCTTTCCAGCACCCCGCCCCATTCTCCCGCTTTCCATCACCCCGCCCGATTCTCCCGCTTTCCATCACCCCGCCCCATTCTCCCGCTTTCCAGCACCCCGCCCCATTCTCCCGCTTTGCATCACCCCGCCCCATTCTCCCGCTTTCCAGCACCCCGCCCCATTCTCCCGCTTTCCATCACCCCGCCCCATTCTCCCGCTTTCCACCACCCCGCCCCATTCTCCCTGTTTCCATCACCCCGCCCCATTCTCCCTCTTTCCATCACCCCGCTCCATTCTCCCTGTTTCCATCACCCTGCCCCATTCTCCCGCTTTCCATCACCCCGCCCCATTCTCCCTCTTTCCATCACCCCGCCCCATTCTCCCTCTTTCCATCACCCTGCCCCATTCTCCCTCTTTCCATAACCCCGCCCCATTCTCCCGCTTTCCATCACCCCGCCCCATTCTCCCGCTTTCCATCACCCCGCCCCATTCTCCCGCTTTCCATCACCCCGCCCCATTCTCCCGCTTTCCAGCACCCCGCCCCATTCTCCCGCTTTCCATCACCCCGCCCCATTCTCCCGCTTTCCAGCACCCCGCCCCATTCTGCCGCTTTCCATCACCCCGTCCGATTCTCCCGCTTTCCATCACCCCGCCCCATTCTCCCGCTTTCCATCATCCCGCCCCATTCTCCCGCTTTCCATCACCCCGCCCCATTCTCCTGCTTTCCATCACCCGCCCCATTCTCCCGCTTTCCATCACCCCGCCCCATTCTCCCGATTTCCATCACCCCGCCCGATTCTCCCGCTTTCCATCACCCCGCCCCATTCTCCCGCTTTCCAGCACCCCGCCCCATTCTCCCGCTTTCCATCACCCCGCCCCATTCTCCCGCTTTCCAGCACCCCGCCCCATTCTGCCGCTTTCCATCACCCCGTCCGATTCTCCCGCTTTCCATCACCCCGCCCCATACTCCCGCTTTCCAACACCCCGCCCCATTCCCCCTCTTTCCATCACCCCGCCCCACTCTCCCTCATTGTATCACCCCGCCCCATTCTCCCTCTTTCCATAACCCCGCCCCATTCTCCCGCTTCCCATCACCCCGCCCCATTCTCCCGCTTTCCAGCACCCTGCCCCATTCTCCCGCTTTCCATCACCCCGCCCGATTCTCCCGCTGTCCATCACCTCGCCCCATTCTCCCGCTGTCCATCACCCCGCCCCATTCTCCCGCTTTCCATCACCCCGCACCATTCTCCCGCTTTCCATCCCCCGCACCATTCTCCCGCTTTCCATCACCCGCCCCATTCTCCCGCTTTCCATCACCCCGCCCCATTCTCCCGTTTTCCATCACCCCGCCCCATTCTCCCTCTTTCCATCACCCCGCCCCATTCTCCCTCTTTCCATCACCCCGCCCCATTCTCCCTCTTTCCATCACCCCGCCCCATTCTCCCGCTTTCCATCACCCCGCCCCATTCTCCCGCTTTCCATCACCCCGCCCCATTCTCCCGCTTTCCATCACCCCGCCACATTCTCCCTCTTTCCATTACCCCGCCCCATTCTCCCTCTTTCCATCACCCCGGCCCATTCTCCCGCTTTCCATCACCCCGCCCCATTCTCCCGCTTTCCATCTCCCCGCCCCATTCTCCCTCTTTCCATCACCCTGCCCCATTTTCCCTCTTTCCATCACCCTGCCCCATTCTCCCTCTATCCATAACCCCGCCCCATTCTCCCGCTTTCCATCACCCTGCCCCATTCTCCCGCTTTCCATCACCCCGCCCCATTCTCCCGCTTTCAAGCACCCCGCCCTATTCTCCCGCTTTCCATCACCCCGCCCGATTCTCCCGCTTTCCAGCACCCCGCCCCATTCTCCCGCTTTCCATCACCCCGCCCCATTCTCCAGCTTTCCAGCACCCCGCCCCATTCTCCCGCTTTCCATCACCCCGCCCAATCTCCTGCTTTCCAGCACCCCGCCCCATTCTCCCGCTTTCCATCACCCCGCCCCATTCTCCCGCTTTCCATCACCCCGCCCCACTCTCCCGCTTTCCATCACCCCGCCCCATTCTCCCGCTTTCTATCACCCCGCCCCATTCTCCCTCTTTCCATCACCCCGCCCCATTCGCCTGCTTTCCATCACCCGCCCCATTCTCCCGCTTTCCATCACCCCGCCCCATTCTCCCACTTTCCATCACCCCACCCCATTCTCCCTCTTTCCATCACCCCGCCCCATTCTCCCTCTTTCCATCACCCTGCCCCATTCTCCCTCTTTCCATAACCCCGCCCCATTCTCCCGCTTTCCATCACCCCGCTCCATTCTCCCGCTTTCCATCACCCCGCCCCATTCTCCCGCTTTCCATCACCCCGCCCCATTGTCCCGCTTTCAAGCACCCCGCCCCATTCTCCCGCTTTCCATCACCCCGCCCGATTCTCCCGCTTTCCAGCACCCCGCCCCATTCTCCCGCTTTCCATCACCCCGCCCCATTCTCCAGCTTTCCAGCACCCCGCCCCATTCTCCCGCTTTCCATCACCCCGCCCGATTCTCCCGCTTTTCATCACCCCGCCCCATTCTCCCGCTTTCCATCACCCGCCCATTCTCCCGCTTTCCATCACCCCGCCCCATTCTCCCTCTTTCCAGCACCCCGCCCCATTCTCCTGCTTTCCATCACCCCGCCCCATTCTCCCGCTTTCCAGCACCTCGCCCCATTCTCCCGCTTTCCATCACCCCGCCCCATTCTCCCGCTTTCCAGCACCCCGCCCCATTCTCCCGCTTTCCATCACCCCGCCCCATTCTCCCGCTTTCCATCACCCCGCCCCACTCTCCCGCTTTCCATCACCCCGCCCCATTCTCCCGCTTTCTATCACCCCGCCCCATTCTCCCTCTTTCCATCACCCCGCCCCATTCGCCTGCTTTCCATCACCCGCCCCATTCTCCCGCTTTCCATCACCTCGCCCCATTCTCCCACTTTCCATCACCCCACCCCATTCTCCCTCTTTCCATCACCCCGCCCCATTCTCCCTCTTTCCATCACCCTGCCCCATTCTCCCTCTTTCCATAACCCCGCCCCATTCTCCCGCTTTCCATCACCCCGCTCCATTCTCCCGCTTTCCATCACCCCGCCCCATTCTCCCGCTTTCCATCACCCCGCCCCATTCTCCCGCTTTCAAGCACCCCGCCCCATTCTCCCGCTTTCCATCACCCCGCCCAATTCTCCCGCTTTCCAGCACCCCGCCCCATTCTCCCGCTTTCCATCACCCCGTCCCATTCTCCCGCTTCCAGCACCCCGCCCCATTCTCCCGCTTTCCATCACCCCGCCCGATTCTCACGCTTTCCATCACCCCGCCCCACTCTCCCGCTTTCCATCACCCCGCCCCATTCTCCCGCTTTCCATCACCCCGCCCCATTCTCCCTCTTTCCATCACCCCGCCCCATTCGCCTGCTTTCCATCACCCGCCCCATTCTCCCGCTTTCCATCACCCCGCCCCATTCTCCCTCTTTCCATCACCCCGCCCCATTCTCACGCTTTCTATCAACCCGCCCGATTCTCACGCTTTCCATCACCCCGCCCCACTCTCCCGCTTTCCATCACCCCGCCCCATTCTCCCGCTTTCCATCACCCCGCCTCATTCTCCCTCTTTCCATCACCCCGCCCCATTCGCCTGCTTTCCATCACCCGCCCCATTCTCCCGCTTTCCATCACCCCGCCCCATTCTCCCTCTTTCCATCACCCCGCCCCATTCTCACGCTTTCTATCAACCCGCCCGATTCTCACGCTTTCCATCACCCCGCCCCACTCTCCCGCTTTCCATCACCCCGCCCCATTCTCCCGCTTTCCATCACCCCACCCCATTCTCCCTCTTTCCATCACCCCGCCCCATTCGCCTGCTTTCCATCACCCGCCCCATTCTCCCGCTTTCCATCACCCCGACCCATTCTCCCGCTTTCCATCACCCCGCCCCACTCTCCCGCTTTCCATCACCCCGCCCCATTCTCCCGCTTTCCATCACCCCGCCCCATTCTCCCTCTTTCCATCACCCCGCCCCATTCGCCTGCTTTCCATCACCCGCCCCATTCTCCCGCTTTCCATCACCCCGCCCCATTCTCCCTCTTTCCATCACCCCGCCCCATTCGCCTGCTTTACATCACCCCGCCCGATTCTCCCGCTTTCCATCACCCCGCCCCACTCTCCCGCTTTCCATCACCCCGCCCCATTCTCCCGCTTTCCATCACCCCGCCCCATTCTCCCTCTTTCCATCACCCCGCCCCATTCGCCTGCTTTCCATCACCCGCCGCAGGGCGAGGGCTCCACGGCTGCTGCAGGGACTGCTGCTCCAGAGGCCAGGGGCGGCTGCTGCAGGGGCGGCTGCTCCAGGGGCCAGGGGCAGCTGCTGCGGCGGCGGCTGCTCCAGGGGCCAGGGTGCCGCGGCGGGCAGGGGCGGCTGCGGCTGACACGGCAGCGGCGGCGGCGGCTGCTGGTGTCGGCGGCGGCGGCGGCTGCTGCTGTCGGCGGCGGCGGTTGCTGCTGTCAATGGTGGCGGCGGCTGCTGCGGCCGGGGCAGGGGCGGCGGCGGCGGACACGAAAGCGGCGGCGGCGGCTGCTACCGTCGGCGGCGGCGGCGGCAGCTGCTGTCGGCGGCGGCGGCGGCTGTTGCGGCCGGGGCAGGGGCGGCGGCGGCTGAGAAGGGGCCGCGGGGCCGCGAGGGGCCGTGAGAGGGGCCGCGAGGGGCCGCGAGGGGCCGCGAAGGGGCCGTGAGGGGCCGCGAGAGGGGCCGCGAGGGGCCGCGAGGGGCCGCGAAGGGCCGCGAGGGAGCTGTGAGAGGGGCGGCAGCGGCTGAGAAGGGGCCGCGGGGCCGCGAGGGGCCGTGAGGGAGCGACGGGCCGCTAAGGGCAGGGGACGCGACGGGAGGGCAGGCACACGGGGCGCGACTCGGGCAGAGGCGAAGCGCGCTACGGGCAGGAAAAAAAAATTTCGATTTTCATCACCCCGCACCATTCTCCCGTTTTCCATCACCCCGCCCCATTCTCCCTCTTTCCATCACCCCGCCCCATTCTCACGCTTTCTATCAACCCGCCCGATTCTCACGATTTCCATCACCCCGCCCCACTCTCCCGCTTTCCATCACCCCGCCCCATTCTCCCGCTTTCCATCACCCCGCCCCATTCTCCCTCTTTCCATCACCCCGCCCCATTCGCCTGCTTTCCATCACCCGCCCCATTCTCCCGCTTTCCATCACCCCGACCCATTCTCCCGCTTTCCATCACCCCGCCCCATTCTCCCGCTTTCCAGCACCCCGCCCCATTCTCCCGCTTTCCATCACCCCGCCCCATTCTCCCTCTTTCCATCACCCCGCCCCATTCGCCTGCTTTCCATCACCCGCCCCATTCTCCCGCTTTCCATCACCCGCCCCATTCTCCCGCTTTCCATCACCCCGCCCCATTCTCCCGCTTTCCATCACCCCGCCCCATTCTCCCGCTTTCCATCACCCGCCCCATTCTCCCGCTTTCCATCACCCCGCCCCACTCTCCCGCTTTCCAGAACCCCGCCCTATTCTCGTGCTTTCCATCACCCCGCCCCATTCTCCCGCTTTCCAGCACCCCGCCCCATTCTCCCGCTTTCCATCACCCCGCCCCACTCTCCCGCTTTCCATCACCCCGCCCCATTCTCCCGCTTTCTATCACCCCGCCCCATTCTCCCTCTTTCCATCACCCCGCCCCATTCGCCTGCTTTCCATCACCCGCCCCATTCTCCCGCTTTCCATCACCCCGCCCCATTCTCCATCTTTCCATCACCCCGCCCCATTCTCCCTCTTTCGATCACCCCGCCCCATTCTCCCTCTTTCCATCACCCCGCCCCACTCTCCCGCTTACCAGCACCCCGCCCTATTCTCGTGCTTTCCATCACCCCGCCCCATTCTCCCGCTTTCTAGCACCCCGCCCCATTCTCCCGCTTTCCATCACCCCGCCCGATTCTCCCGCTTTCCATCACCCCACCCCACTCTCCCGCTTTCCATCACCCCGCCCCATTCTCCCGCTTTCTATCACCCCGCCCCATTCTCCCGCTTTCCATCACCCCGCCCCATTCGCCTGCTTTCCATCACCCGCCCCATTCTCCCGCTTTCCATCACCCCGCCCCATTCACCATCTTTCCATCACCTCGCCCCATTCTCCCTCTTTCCATCACCCCGCCCCATTCTCCCGCTTTCCATCACCCCACCCCATTCTTCCTCTTTCCATCACCCCGCCCCATTCTCCCTCTTTCCATCACCTTGCCCGATTCTCCCTCTTTCCATAACCCCGCCCCATTCTCCCGCTTTCCATCACCCCGCCCCATTCTCCCGATTTCCATCACCCCGCCCCATTCTCCCGCTTTCCATCACCCCGCCCCATTCTCCCTCTTTCCATCACCCCTCCCCATTCTCCCTCTTTCCATCACCCCGCCCCATTCTCCCGCTTTCCATCACCCCGCCCCATTCCCCCTCTTTCCATCACCCCGCCCCACTCTTCCTCTTTCCATCACCCTGCCCCATTCTACCTCTTTCCATCACCCTGCCCCATTCTCCCTCTTTCCATCACCCCGCCCCATTCTCCCGCTTTCCATCACCCACCCCATTCTCACGCTTTCCATCACCCCGCCCCATTCTCCCTCTTTCCAGCACCCCGCCCCATTCTCCTGCTTTCCATCACCCCGCCCCATTCACCCGCTTTCCAGCACCCCGCCCCATTCTCTCGCTTTCCATCACCCCGCCCGATTCTCACGCTTTCCATCACCCCGCCCCACTCTCCCGCTTTCCATCACCCCGCCCCATTCTCCCACTTTCCATCACCCCGCCCCATTCTCCCTTTTTCCATCACCCCGCCCCATTCGCCTGCTTTCCATCACCCGACCCATTCTCCCGCTTTCCATCACCCCGCACCATTCTCCCGCTTTCCATCACCCCGCCCCATTCTCCCTCTTTCCATCACCCCGCCCCATTCGCCTGCTTTCCATCACCCGCCCCATTCTCCCGCTTTCCATCACCCCGCCCCATTCTCCCGCTTTCCATCACCCCGCCCCATTCTCCCGCTTTCCATCACCCCGCCCCATTCTCCCGCTTTCAAGCACCCCGCCCCATTCTCCCGCTTTCCATCACCCCGCCCAATTCTCCCGCTTTCCAGCACCCCGCCCCATTCTCCCGCTTTCCATCACCCCGCCCCATTCTCCCGCTTCCAGCACCTCGCCCCATTCTCCCGCTTTCCATCACCCCGCCCGATTCTCCCGCTTTCCATCACCCCGCCCCATTCTCCCGCTTTCCATCACCCGCCCCATTCTCACGCTTTCCATCACCCCGCCCCATTCTCCCTCTTTCTAGCACCCCGCCCCATTCTCCTGCTTTCCATCACCCCGCCCCATTCTCCCGCTTTCCAGCACCCCGCCCCATTCTCCCGCATTCCATCACCCCGCCCGATTCTCACGCTTTCCATCACCCCGCCCCACTCTCCCGCTTTCCATAACCCCGCCCCATTCTCCCGCTTTCCATCACCCCGCCCCATTCTCCCTCTTTCCATCACCCCGCCCCATTCGCCTGCTTTCCATCACCCGCCCCATTCTCCCGCTTTCCATCACCCCGACCCATTCTCCCGCTTTCCATCACCCCGCCCCATTCTCCCGCTTTCCAGCACCCCGCCCCATTCTCCCGCTTTCCATCACCCCGCCCCATTCTCCCTCTTTCCATCACCCCGCCCCATTCGCCTGCTTTCCATCACCCGCCCCATTCTCCCGCTTTCCATCACCCCGCCCCATTCTCCCGCTTTCCATCACCCCGCCCCATTCTCCCTCTTTCCATCACCCCGCTCCATTCTCCCTCTTTCCATCACCCCGCCCCATTCTCCCGCTTCCCATCACCCCGCCCCATTCTCCCGCTTTCCATCACCCGCCCCATTCTCCCGCTTTCCATCACCCCGCCCCACTCTCCCGCTTTCCAGCACCCCGCCCTATTCTCGTGCTTTCCATCACCCCTGCCCCATTCTCCCGCTTTCCAGCACCCCGCCCCACTCTCCCGCTTTCCATCACCCCGCCCCATTCTCCCGCTTTCCATCACCCCGCCCCATTCTCCCTCTTTCCATCACCCCGCCCCATTCGCCTGCTTTCCATCACCCGCCCCATTCTCCCGCTTTCCATCACCCCGCACCATTCTCCCGTTTTCCATCACCCCGCCCCATTCTCCCTCTTTCCATCACCCCGCCCCATTCTCACGCTTTCTATCAACCCGCCCGATTCTCACGCTTTCCATCACCCCGCCCCACTCTCCCGCTTTCCATCACCCCGCCCCATTCTCCCGCTTTCCATCACCCCGCCCCATTCTCCCTCTTTCCATCACCCCGCCCCATTCGCCTGCTTCCATCACCCGCCCCATTCTCCTGCTTTCCATCACCCCGCCCCATTCTCCCTCTTTCCATCACCCCGCCCCATTCTCACGCTTTCTATCAACCCGCCCGATTCTCACGCTTTCCATCACCCCGCCCCACTCTCCCGCTTTCCATCACCCCGCCCCATTCTCCCGCTTTCCATCACCCCGCCCCATTCTCCCTCTTTCCATCACCCCGCCCCATTCGCCTGCTTTCCATCACCCGCCCCATTCTCCCGCTTTCCATCACCCCACCCCATTCTCCCTCTTTCCATCACCCCGCCCCATTCTCACGCTTTCTATCAACCCGCCCGATTCTCACGCTTTCCATCACCCCGCCCCACTCTCCCGCTTTCCATCACCCCGCCCCATTCTCCCGCTTTCCATCACCCCGCCCCATTCTCCCTCTTTCCATCACCCCGCCCCATTCGCCTGCTTTCCATCACCCCGCCCCATTCTCCCGCTTTCCATCACCCCGCCCCATTCTCCCGCTTTCCATCACCCCGCCCCACTCTCCCGCTTTCCGTCACCCCGCCCCATTCTCCCGCTTTCCATCACCCCGCCCCATTCTCCCTCTTTCCATCACCCCGCCCCATTCGCCTGCTTTCCATCACCCGCCCCATTCTCCCGCTTTCCATCACCCCGCCCCATTCTCCCTCTTTCCATCACCCCGCCCCATTCGCCTGCTTTCCATCACCCCGCCCCATTCTCCCGCTTTCCATCACCCCGCCCCATTCTCCCGCTTTCCATCACCCCGCCCCATTCTCCCGCTTTCCATCACCCCGCCCCATTCTCCCTCTTTCCATCACCCCGCCCCATTCTCCTGCTTTCCATCACCCGCCCCATTCTCCCGCTTTCCATCACCCCGCCCCATTCTCCCGCTTTCCATCACCCCGCCCCATTCTCCCTCTTTCCATCACCCCGCCCCATTCTCTCGCTTTCTATCAACCCGCCCCATTCTCCCGCTTTCCATCACCCCGCCCCATTCTCCCGCTTTCCATCACCCCGCCCCATTCTCCCGCTTTCCATCACCCCGCCCCATTCTCCCTCTTTCCATCACCCCGCCCCATTCGCCTGCTTTCCATCACCCGCCCCATTCTCCCGCTTTCCATCACCCCGACCCATTCTCCCGCTTTCCATCACCCCGCCCCATTCTCCCGCTTTCCATCACCCCGCCCCATTCTCCCGCTTTCCATCACCCCGCCCCATTCTCCCTCTTTCCATCACCCCGCCCCATTCGCCCGCTTTCCATCACCCGCCCCATTCTCCCGCTTTCCATCACCCGCCCCATTCTCCCGCTTTCCATCACCCCGCCCCATTCTCCCTCTTTCCATCACCCGCCCCATTCTCCCTCTTTCCATCACCCCGCCCCATTCTCCCGCTTTCCATCACCCCGCCCCATTCTCCCGCTTTCCATCACCCACCCCATTCTCCCGCTTTCCATCACCCCGCCCCATTCTCCCGCTTTCCATCACCCCGCCCCATTCTCGTGCTTTCCATCACCCCGCCCCATTCTCCCGCTTTCCATCACCCCGCCCCATTCTCCCGCTTTCCATCACCCCGCCCCATTCTCCCGCTTTCCATCACCCCGCCCCACTCTCCCGCTTTCCATCACCCCGCCCCATTCTCCCGCTTTCCATCACCCCGCCCCATTCTCCCTCTTTCCATCACCCCGCCCCATTCGCCTGCTTTCCATCACCCGCCCCATTCTCCCGCTTTCCATCACCCCGCCCCATTCTCCATCTTTCCATCACCCCGCCCCATTCTCCCTCTTTCCATCACCCCGCCCCATTCTCCCTCTTTCCATCACCCCGCCCCATTCTCCTGCTTTCCATCACCCGCCCCATTCTCCCGCTTTCCATCACCCGCCCCATTCTCCCGCTTTCCATCACCCCGCCCCATTCTCCCTCTTTCCATCACCCCGCCCCATTCTCCCTCTTTCCATCACCCCGCCCCATTCTCCCGCTTTCCATCACCCCGCCCCATTCTCCCGCTTTCCATCACCCGCCCCATTCTCCCGCTTTCCATCACCCCGCCCCATTCTCCCGCTTTCCATCACCCCGCCCCATTCTCCCGCTTTCCATCACCCCGCCCCATTCTCCCGCTTTCCATCACCCCGCCCCATTCTCCCGCTTTCCATCACCCCGCCCCATTCTCCCGCTTTCCATCACCCCGCCCCATTCTCCGCTTTCCATCACCCCGCCCCATTCTCCCGCTTTCCATCACCCCGCCCCATTCTCCCGCTTTCCATCACCCCGCCCCATTCGCCTGCTTTCCATCACCCGCCCCATTCTCCCGCTTTCCATCACCCCGCCCCATTCTCCCTCTTTCCATCACCCCGCCCCATTCTCCCGCTTTCCATCACCCGCCCCATTCTCACGCTTTCCATCACCCCGCCCCATTCTCCCGCTTTCCATCTCCCCGCCCCATTCTCCCGCTTTCCATCACCCCGCCCCATTCTCCCTCTTTCCATCACCCCGCCCCATTCGCCCGCTTTCCATCACCCGCCCCATTCTCCCGCTTTCCATCACCCCGCCCCATTCTCCCTCTTTCCATCACCCTGCCCCATTCTCCGCTTTCCATCAACCCGCCCCATTCTCCCGCTTTCCATCACCCCGCCCCATTCTCCCGCTTTCCATCACCCCGCCCCATTCTCCCGCTTTCCATCACCCCGCCCCATTCTCCCGCTTTCCATCACCCGCCCCATTCTCCTGCTTTCCATCACCCGCCCCATTCTCCCGCTTTCCATCACCCCGACCCATTCTCCCGCTTTCCATCACCCCGCCCCATTCTCCCGCTTTCCATCACCCCGCCCCATTCTCCCGCTTTCCATCACCCCGCCCCATTCTCCCTCTTTCCATCACCCCGCCCCATTCTCCTGCTTTCCATCACCCGCCCCATTCTCCCGCTTTCCATCACCCCGCCCCATTCTCCCTCTTTCCATCACCCCGCCCCATTCTCCTGCTTTCCATCACCCCGCCCCATTCTCCCGCTTTCCATCACCCCGCCCCATTCTCCCGCTTTCCATCACCCCGCCCCATTCTCCCGCTTTCCATCACCCCGCCCCATTCTCCCTCTTTCCATCACCCCGCCCCATTCGCCTGCTTTCCATCACCCGCCCCATTCTCCCGCTTTCCATCACCCCGCCCCATTCTCCCGTTTTCCATCACCCCGCCCCATTCTCCCTCTTTCCATCACCCCGCCCCATTCTCCCGCTTTCCATCACCCCGCCCCATTCTCCCGCTTTCCATCACCCCGCCCCATTCTCCCGCTTTCCATCACCCCGCCCCATTCTCCCGCTTTCCATCACCCCGCCCCATTCTCCCTCTTTCCATCACCCCGCCCCATTCTCCTGCTTTCCATCACCCGCCCCATTCTCCCGCTTTCCATCACCCCGCCCCATTCTCCCGCTTTCCATCACCCCGCCCCATTCTCCCGCTTTCCATCACCCCGCCCCATTCTCCCGCTTTCCATCACCCCGCCCCATTCTCCCTCTTTCCATCACCCCGCCCCATTCTCCTGCTTTCCATCACCCGCCCCATTCTCCCGCTTTCCATCACCCCGCCCCATTCTCCCGCTTTCCATCACCCCGCCCCATTCTCCCTCTTTCCATCACCCGCCCCATTCTCCCTCTTTCCATCACCCCGCCCCATTCTCCCGCTTTCCATCACCCCGCCCCATTCTCCCGCTTTCCATCACCCGCCCCATTCTCCCGCTTTCCATCACCCCGCCCCATTCTCCCGCTTTCCATCACCCCGCCCCATTCTCCCGCTTTCCATCACCCCGCCCCATTCTCCCGCTTTCCATCACCCCGCCCCATTCTCCCGCTTTCCATCACCCCGCCCCATTCTCCCGCTTTCCATCACCCCGCCCCATTCTCCCGCTTTCCATCACCCCGCCCCATTCTCCCGCTTTCCATCACCCCGCCCCATTCTCCCTCTTTCCATCACCCCGCCCATTCTCCCCGCCCCATTCTCCCGCTTTCCATCACCCCGCCCCATTCTCCCTGCTTTCCATCACCCGCCCCATTCTCACGCTTTCCATCACCCCGCCCCATTCTCCCTCTTTCCATCACCCGACCCATTCTCCCTGCTTTCCATCACCCCG